CCTTCGCTTATAAGAAGGTCGCCAACAAGGTAAAACCGGTGGCAACGACGATGCCAGCACATGCGCGGATCATCCGTCGTTTTCCAGAAGACCCTCTCGCCTCTCTACCATCCCTTTCTCCCACACCCCCAGCATTCATACCCGGCACCCGTCTTACCCAAGAACGAATGGACGAGCTCAGAGTTTTCAAAAATGAATTCCTCCTTCCTGAAGAACGAAAACTCGCCGCTCATGTTCTGATGAACAATGAGTTTGCACTTGCATGGGACGAGTCGGAAAAAGGATGCTTTCGAGACGACTATTTTCCCCCAGTGATCATCCCTACCATCGAGCACGTACCTTGGGTACACCGGCAGCCACCCATTCCTCCTGGTATCAAAGAAGAAGTCATCAAGCTCATCAAATCTAAGATTGCGTCCGGTGTCTACGAACCCTCCAACTCCTCCTACCAGTCCCGCTGGTTTTGCGTCGCAAAGAAGAGCGGTGCTGTCCGAATCGTGCATGACCTTCAACAGCTAAATTCTGTAACAGTCAAGGACGCCGCATCAATGCCATATGTAGAGTTGTTCGCGGAACAATGCGCAGGACGCGCTATATATTCTATGATGGACTTATTCGTAGGGTTCGATCATCGAGCGCTTGCAGAAGAATCACGCGACATTACCACTTTCCAAACTCCTCTCGGCACTTATCGTTTGACAGTCCTTCCTCAGGGATGGACAGACTCCCCCGCAGTCTTCCAGAATGATGTCGCGTTCATCCTGCAAGCAGAGACGGAGATAGCCCCAAACTTTCAGGACGATGTCAATGTTCTTGGACCTCGGACTCGTTATGAGCGCCCTGATGGCACTTACGAAGTAATCCCCGAGAATCCAGGAATTCGCAAGTTTGTCTGGATGCATTGCCTCGATGCGAATCGCGTCCTCCATCGTCTCCGACATGCGGGAGCTACAGTATCAGCTAAAAAGTTATACCTTTGCGTTCCGGAAGTACTCGTAGTCGGGCAACTATGCACGTACAAGGGTCGAGTCCCAGATCATTCTAAAGTCTCTAAGATAACTCACTGGCCCTCCTGCTCAACTCGTACTGAAGTGCGCGGATTTCTCGGTACTGCAGGGACTGTGCGAAACTGGATTAAAGACTATGCACTCCTTTCATGACCACTCACTCTCCTAACCCGGACAAACACTCCGTTCGTTTGGTCCATTGAAGCGCAGCAAGCAATGGATGCCATCAAAGCCGCGATCACCTCATCTTCAGCAATCCGTCCTATCGATTATACTTCAGGAGACGAAGTCATTCTGGCCGTGGATTCCTCTCACATTGCGTGTGGGTGGATACTCTTTCAAAACTCCAACGGCAAGCGCTACCCATCGCGTTTTGGGTCAATTACTTGGAACGAGCGCGAGTCGAGGTACTCCCAAGCTAAGATCGAGTTATATGGGTTGTTCTGAGCGTTGCGAGCAGCTAAAGTATGGTCAATCGGCCTCAAAACGTTCACAGTTTAGGTAGACGCCAAATACCTCAAAGGCATGCTTCGTAATCCAGATATCCAACCAAACGCCGCTATGAATCGTTGGTTAGCAGGTATCGCATTGTTTCACTTCAAACTCCGACACGTACCAGGTGCCAAACATCTTGTGCCTGATGGTCTCTCACGACGACCTATAGCCCCAGAAGACAAGGACGAACAAGACGAAACCTCTGAGGACATAGAAGAATGGTTAGATGATGTTTTGGGATGCAGCGCGTGGGTGGGAGAAGACCCAGCGCTTGTGTATGGCGAAACGATGGAAACAAGATCTATTCTCACCATCGCAGAAACTCAAACCCCTCCTGACTCCCAGATTCCACTAGACGCACACACAGCTCGACGCGACCAAGAACTTTTAGCGATCCATTCTTACCTTCAGACCCTATCCATTCCTTCTAGCATTCCACCTTCCCTTCGCCCTCGATTCGTCAAACGCTCCTTCCAATTCTTCCTTCATCATAAGCGTTTGTGGCGCAAAAACTCCTCACAACGACACCAGCTGGTCGTACTTCCTTCAGATCGCAGTCGCATCCTTCAGCAAACTCACGATCAACTCGGGCATAAGGGTATTTATGCTACTCGACGCACCATAGCCGACAGATTCTGGTGGCCTTCGTTGGAGAAAGATGTCGCATGGTATATCAAGACATGTCATCAATGTCAAACCCGTTCCACTGAAAAAGTCGTTATCCCACCTACCGTCTCTATTCCCGCTCCCCTCTTCCGCAAGGCTTTCACAGATACCATGCATATGCCCGCATCCCACGGCTTTTCCTATATTGTGCAGGCGCGCTGCTCATTATCCAATTGGCCGGAGTTCAGAATGTTGAGGAAAGAGACTGGACGCACCTTGGGCGCGTTTCTTTTCGAGGAAATCCTTTGCAGATGGGGAGGCATTGAGGAAATCGTCACCGACAATGGCACGCCCTTCGTCGCAGCACTTGATTGGCTCGCGCAAAAGTACCACATCCGTCACATTCGCATTTCAGCCTACAACTCAAAGGCTAACGGAGTCGTTGAACGTTCACACCGCACCATTCGAGACTCACTCGTAAAAGCTTGCAACGGCGACATTTCAGACTGGCCTAACTTAGCTCATCATGTCTTTTGGGCTGACCGAGTCACCACTCGCAAATCAACAGGTCACACTCCCTTTTTTATGGCGCACGGCATTGAACCCCTCTTACCCTTTGATATCACCGAAGCAACTTTCCTCCTCCCCGACATCGCGTCCCAACTCTCTTCTGCAGAGTTATTAGCCATTCGAGCTCGTCAGCTAGCCAAACGCAATGACGACTTGACGGAAATTCACACCAGGGTACTTAAGAGTCATTTTTCCTCTATTCAGGACTTCGAGAAGCGCTTTGCCAACACCATCCATGACTATAACTTCGCCCCCGGCTCTCTCGTCTTAGTTCTGAACAAGCGGATTGAACCTGCATCCAACACAAAATGCAAACCTCGTTACTTCGGCCCCATGGTTGTTATCTCCCGCTCTCAAGGAGGATCTTACCGCTGAAGGTACAACAATTCAGATGGTGAGTCTGAACAATGTGTTGGGTCTTGCAGAACCTAGCTGCTATTCGACCCTAAAGGGTTTCTGGACCAGGCTCAAGGCTCAGAGTAGAGGAAATATCATAAATACTTGCTGATCTCTCAGACTCTTACTGGTAACTGGTGAAAAGATTGATTGCTTATGTAAGCTACAAAAGTGCCAACATAAGGTAAGGTAAAAACAGTCTCTACAAGCCCAGCCAGAAATGAATCCCTACATCTCATGGGAACTTTGAATCATGACTGTCCCCAGTCATCTACCTATGCAAACCAAAGCTAAGCTAAACTTAAGAGAACTAACCTGGGGGTCCTCAAACACCTTTTGTCTCCTTGACGCGTATGCCAGGTAAACTGCGCCAGTGAGTGAGGGTCAGGCAATGCAATAAAACGATAATCTCCAGACTTTGCTTTTAGTACTGGAGGAGCAGCGATGCTAAAGTGAAAAAACGCGATGATGGTTGCATGGATGACGATGGGGAGTAGCCGGATAGAAAGAGGCGGACGAGGGCTTCGAAATGAGTATAGGGTTGACTAGGTTTGGTGAAGAACTGAGGGAGATATGAAGGAAATGGTGAAAACGCGCGAAAATAGCGAAAACGGCGAGTAGCGAGGGCGCGAGTGGGCGTATCGGAAATCTGATCAGATGGATGGAAAGAGCGGATAAATGCGGTCAGAACGCGCCTAAGGCGATGGGCACGCGATCACAGGGCGACGAGATATAAAGAAAGCGCAAAAATGGGGCGAAAGAATTGGGAGGAGCGCGCAAATGCGGATAGCGAGCGAACGGCTGAGCGCGTGAAGGCGCAAATATGCGCGAATGAAAGCCATGAACGAGGGCTTCAAAACGGATATAGGGTCGATGGGGTTCTGATGCGAAATGGGCTGGTGAAAGTGCAAAAAAGTGCGGAGGTGCAAGAGGGAGGAGGAGGAAGGGGTAGGGTGCAGGGCAACAAGGACTGGTCCTATCAAGAAGCTGATTGGGGCAATGGACAGAGCCACTGGGGGATGGTAAATTGCCAAAAGAGCTAAATGAGACAGGCCTTAGAGCACCCAGAAAACCCTTATCTCCCCTCAACTTCTCAAAAACACCAAAAACTCGATATCTCCACAACTACTGCTCCAATTTCGATGAGCCAGGGCGCAAAATGATCGTATGGACGAGGGGAATATGACCCTAAGTTTTCGAGAGATCCGCTCGAAAAACGCGTGGGAAAAACGCTTATCAATGCGCTGGGGAGAAGGACAAGATGCTGAAAAGTGGGAATTGTGGGAGAAGCTGGTAATGAATGACTGTGGTGGGATAATAGGCGAATTTGGGGGATGATTGGTGAGCTTAGAGAGCCTAGAAACACAAGAAACCCTCGCGGTGGGCTCCAGTTGAAGGTACAACTATTCAGATGGTGAGTCTGAACAATGTGTTGGGTCTTGCAGAACCTAGCTGCTATTCGACCCTAAAGGGTTTCTGGACCAGGCTCAAGGCTCAGAGTAGAGGAAATATCATAAATACTTGCTGATCTCTCAGACTCTTACTGGTAACTGGTGAAAAGATTGATTGCTTATGTAAGCTACAAAAGTGCCAACATAAGGTAAGGTAAAAACAGTCTCTACAAGCCCAGCCAGAAATGAATCCCTACACCGCCTCACAGAAGTTGACGGCACAATCTCTAAATTGAAGTTCGCAGCCTTTCGCATTATCCCCTACCACCCGCGCTCTCCCACCTCTGTCGAAGTCACTCAATTTATCGACCCTCAAGCCCTCGCCGGACTCAATGACGAGCAGTCTTAGATGCGTTCTTTCTATTTTCAGTTTCTTCTCTCATTTCCTCGAACCATTCTATCTTATTACGCATATTTTAGTTTTTATGGTTGGAAGATCAACCGGGGACGGTCGATATTCGAAGTAAGGAGGGGATGTAAGGATTCCATATCCTCTGCACCCCGACTAACACTTCATAATAAAATTCAGGACTTATGTCCGACATCCGCGTGACTCATTGATGCGAACAAGCATCACGCTTCGCGTCCGAGTCACGCGGACACATTCTCTTTCCTTACCTTCACCCTCTCGTTATGCTCAACAACGAGCTCGGTCTTTCACCCTTATTCATAACTATACCCTGGACTTATCACCAAACCATCTCTTGTCATTTCAGCTTAGTTTCATTCCTTCGCCCCAAAAACAGTCAAACACCAAATGCTTCTCGTCATTCCTGTGCACGGCGAGCTGCCTATTACTATCTTTTATTCAAAACTAACATACATTCACTCATTTCTGTTACTTTTACCCTGTCAGGCTCAACACCACCACTCTCCGTCTCCCTGAAAACTTCACTTTCGTAAACAAGGACCCTTACTCTCGTGTACTTAAAAAACGGCCTTGTACGCTTACTTTGAACATTGGTTGCTTTCCCCACCACGAGTCCGCGTCAGATCCTAAGACAGTCCTATCACAGCGAGCTTCGCAATTCCCTCTTCGGACTCAGCTTCAGCCTTATACTCTCATGGTGTGATATGGCGCTTTACACTAGGAGTACATAGCACAAACTTGCAGCATCACTCGGTGTGCTATCCGCAGGTATTCCACTATGAGGCGCAGCTTTCCCGCGCCATGCGTGCACCATTCCCATGCTTCACGATGTATACGTGCGCGCGCATTCCTGCGCTTGAGCGCCCTATAGCGCCAACCATCCAGAAGCATCCATCCACTGTCCACCAAGCTCCCTAGTGCATATATTTCCATTTCCTTTATTAGCATATTGTTCTGTCTTTATTTTTATCATGGATTCTCACTCATATATATCTTTACATACCTACTCGGTAGCGCTTCAGCTCCGCATTACAGCGCTTAGGCGCGCTATATAAGCGCCAGCAGTACATACTACGAGGGAGTTTTCCACTTACTTTTCACTTACTTTCCCTTTAACTTACTAGTTACCACCTACCATTTTACTTAGCAGAACATAGTAGAAGTCTATTTGTCTACACTTCACATCTCTCTTCTCTTATATTGCATCATATTAGCACTTGAGTCTAACTTCTCTATTATTTCTGCATACGCGCGCGCACTTTCCCGTGCTTCGCGCTAATACGCGCGCGTGTTCCCGCACCTTGCGCGCACCTGCACTTTCTCGTGCTTCGCTTCAGCGCATACCTCTAGATCTTCGCTGCACTCGCTTCCCCTTTAGGGTCGAACGCACTTGTCTCCTCAGGTAACGCAGACTAGGCAACGTGCGACCTTACAACTATTTTTAGATACAGTTTGGAGCATCTTTTGTTCCTCGTTGTATTGTTGTTTCTACAGCGGAATATAGCTTTTTTTCACCTCTTTCATGAATCACAGCTGGGAGATGTAACAGGATGGGGACCCTGTTGCTGCTGATAGCCATTCGGTAAACTCGAGGTTCAAGCCATTCTTGTTGCTCAGCTTCCTTTGATTGGTTCCAGGGGGCTGGTACTTTGTGGCAGCGGGCTCTTTCAAGCACCACTGTACGGTACTTGAAGCTTTCAAAGACAACTGACTAGAGTTAGGTCGAGCTACATACCAAGAAGACAAAACAATGCCTGCCTGCATTTTCCCTAGCCTTTTGAACGGCTTTTACCATCTCCTTCTCAAGCTTTCTCCGGAACTGGTCAGCTTGTGAATCCACACCACACTTGAGTTTCTTCTTAGGAGGAGGTCCCGGCACCCTCTCTCCATCTCCTCTTCTGTCAATACATCTTGCGAGAGATCTTCAGGGCTGGACACTTGAACTTTGAGATTGCTAGAATAAATCAACAATTACAAGTAAATTCAAGCCAGCAGCCCCATACCTGAATTTTTGTAAAATATCTTCTTTGGTCCAAATATCCCCATCACCATCAGCTCTGCTGATCATATCACCTATTCCCTCAAGATCAAGCCCTGGAGGGCATCCCTCGAGCACCATCTCAACAGGCATAACTGCATTGCATATAGGGTGTAAGTACAAATCTAAAGGTTCGGTGTAGAGACTCGCGCGTCTCAATGACGAATATCCGGCCTTTAACCATACATTCCTATACATTACAGCTCTACTCCTAAGGACCAGTCTCGCGCGCACTCGCGCGCGCCTTATCCGAACTCGCGCGCACTTACGCGCGCCTTACCTACGCACGCGCTATGCGCGCTTCGCGCGCGCGTTCGCGCGCCTCCTCATAGGTCTTCGCGCTATCGTCCGTCCATCCGTCCCATGTCCTTACTGATTCGCTGGTGCGTTATTTCTATCTTATCCATTGAACTAATAAAATCTTCGGTCCGACATCCGCGCTACTTATGGAAAGTTTATTTAAACTTAGTTATAATTAGAGTTGATATGGTTACTCGGTTCGGGAGCGCGCTCGGAAGCGCGCCTTCTCCATTCTTAAATACAGAAGGGTTTCCTTTAGTTCTGGTACTTACTTTTCCCTTATCTTTGTAGACTGGAAAGTGAATAGATCACCTCCCCACTTGTTATCTGATCATATCCTCCTGTCAATCCTCCACCTTTGCACTCACTCCTCAGTAAGATCTTGCCTCTAACGCTTTAGGCGCGCCTTCGCTTCGCGCGCGCGCATTCTCGGACCTCCCGCTCACGCGCGCATCTCGCGCGCCTTCGCCTCGCGCACGCGCGCCTTCGCGCGCGTTATCTTCTCGCGCCTATTAGCGCCCGCCTAGCTCACAGAGTTTCCCTCCACTTTATTTCGAGGAACTTCTCTCAGTAGTTGTCCTTTGGGTCGAGTCGTTGTCTCGTATCCCGGTCTTGCTGTTGAGCACCCCTTTTGTTTTAAGTGTTTTCACGTATAGTCAAGATTCCTCATCTACAACTGGAGCCCACCGCGAGGGACACTTCTGAGATAGAAGGTCGGCGCCTCAGACCCAACAGTCGCCGCATAGCCAGAGAAGAAGCCATCGCCGCATTCGACAGAGCGGTAGAATCCATTATACCAGGACCCTTATTCATTCAACACACGCGCGGTCGTTCGCGCAATATATCAGAACCTCCGCGACCAGATCCAGCGCTCTTCGCGCACGCGCCTAGACAACTGATATCGCCAGTCACGCCCTCGCCTGAAGAATCCGTCAAGGAAGAGTCATCCGACGGCTTCGAAGCAATAGATAACCCAAGGAGCCAACTTCCCGGAACATTCCTCCACACGCCCAATCAACCTCCTTTTAATACTTCTAACCTGTCAGCGCTAAGCGCGCTAACCGAGCTTGACGACTCTAGCGACACTCCACTTAACGCGCCAGTAGTTCCTGCGCGCGAGAACGCGCTTCCTACAACGGGAATACCTAAGATCAAGCAAGAAGCTTTAGAAACCCCGCGCGCGCCATTTTCAATCCCAGGCGGTACCTTTATATCAAACCTTCCTTTCGCGAACACGCGCCAAGCACTTGTCAGTCACAAGATCCCCGCGCCTGCAATTTCCCAACCGCCCGTCATGTCCACAGTAAGAACCAGAATGCCTGTCCGTGGAACAACGGACGCGCCTAAATTTGATGGCACAACCGACAGCCTCGCCGACTTTATCGACCTATACGAGCAGCTCGCTGACGATGTAGGTCTACAAGGTCTCGATCGCATTAAGGGTATCATCCGCTACCTTGAGCGCGATGACCGAGAATTATGGGGCGGAATGCCGGAGGCGCAAGTAAGCGATTACAACGCGTTCATGAAAGAAGTCAAGGTAATGTATCCCGGATGGGATGGCAAAAGGCGCTACGCGCTTTCGGACCTACAAGCCATCGCGCACGAATACGCGAACAAGACGATGCCCTCGTACCAGGAGTTAAGCAACTACCTTCGCGCGTTCAAGAAAGTCATGCAACCGCTATTGGCAGAAGATCGCATTGGTAAAGCCGAGCGCGATCGCATATTCATGGAAGGGATTCCCAAGGATACTCAGGCGCTAATACGCACGCGCCTAATGATTAAATTTCCTGATCACTACCCGCAGGATCCATACCCGTTCATGGACGTCTTTACAGCTGGACATTTCGTTCTGCCCGCGAATGCGCCTGCAGCAAGCGCGACGCCTAGCGCGCCTACGGCAGCGCCATTCACTAACCTAGTCACAGCTACCACGTCAGCGCAATCGCCCGCGCAAGGCACAGTAACCAAGCGCGAATATAAGCGCGACGCGCCTACGTTCAATGACTGCGCCTTTTGCGGCAGTCTCGAACATTACTACCCTCGTTGCGCAGAGAAACAAAGGTATATTGACGCGGGTAAATGTAAGGTTAGCGAAGAGACGCGCAAGCTTGTTTTGCCAAATGGCGATTGGATTCCAGGCCGAGGATTACTCAAGGATCGTCTAGATCGACATCACGCAAGTCGCGCGACACCGGATACGACCGCTAGTACAGGCGCGACAGCGGGACTATTCTATCGCGCGTCCGACGAGATCGACGCGGTAATTGATGTAGGCTCATCTGCGTTTGTGCACACAGTCGCGCAAACGGAACTCGAAGAGGACGACGAGACGGTGGATCTCATGACAGAAGCGATAGCCTATGTAGCTGCAAGGCGCGACCAGAAGCGCAATGCCAAAGGTAAAAGTGTGCGCTTCGATGGTGTAGAAATACCCAGCGAAACGCGCGCGCGTCCGAGACCTGCATCTAAGCAAGCCACGGTAGAGGAGGAGATAATCTCTCCCGAAATACAGGCTTCGTCTGACAAAGGTAAAGGAAAAGAGGTAGCGAAAGTAGCGCCGTTAAGCGCGCCAATAAGCGCGCCAACAAGCGCCAAGGCGCCTCCTAAGGGCGCCTCGCCCGCATCGTCAACACCATCATTGTCCGCGCCAGTATCGTCATCGTCGTCATCCCCATCTCAATCTTCAGTATTGCCACCATCGTCGTCATCAACACCAACCCAAGCACCAGCACAGTCATCATCATATCGTTATGCATTCGCGCTTGAAGACAAGGAGGCCGACAAACGCGTTGTCGAGCGCCTTCTCGATTCCAATCTCAATATCCCAGTAAGGGAATTATTAGCTGTATCTCCCGACGTTCGCCAACATTTCCGCGAACTTACGACCAAGAAGCGCGTCACAGTAGGCGCAGTATCTGTGCACGAATTATCTGGGCACCCCGCAACCGACCAATGGCTCAAGCAATACGAGGATGTGCGCATGCGAAGCGACGACGGTAAAATCGTCGCGGATCACTTCGCGCCCCTGCGCTGTATTCGCGCTAAGACATTGGAAGGGCGCACTCTCACCTGCGTCTTAGATCAAGGCGCGGAAGTAGTAGTCATGCCAAGGGAAGTATGGAAAGAGCTCGGCGTACCGCTCAGGTCGGACCATAGCCTCAATATGGAATCGGTAAACACGTCACGTGACGCGACGCTAGGAGTCATAGAGAACGTCCCGCTTGATTTTGGCGCAGGACCCTTATACTTCCAAGTCCAGGT